TGAGTTAAATAATGTTTAAAATTACTATAAAATAAATAATTTATAGTAAGATGGGATTATAATAAAAATTATTGGTTGTTCAAATCCTCTTGTGATTCCAATGTATTGATTTCTATTTTGATGACTGAGAAAGTTGTTTGAAACTGTGACTTGAAGCCAGGTGTAATGGTGTCTCTGCATTCCCAGCACTCAGGACACTGAGGCAGAAGGATTGTCAATTCAAGGCCAGCCTGGGCTACATGGTGAGACCCTGGCTAAACAGAAAATATTGTGGCTTTGAAAATATGACACTGTAAGATGGCAGCATGTCAGTATTTCATTCTTGCAGTGGATGTAGAAATTATATAAGTTCTTGTTAATTTTTATTCAAATCACCCTTCTCACCTGAGATCATCTGTGGCCCACACTGACCACCTACTTTCCAGCCCATCTCTCCACATATCAGCATGGCCTTCTTTAACTTTGTCATGGTGTGTCTTACCTTCAACTTGAATATTATTTTAATAGATGATTCTTTCACTTTGTGTGGTCAACATGATGGCTTATCATGACTAGCAATATTTAGATATGCTACATTAGATGTTGGTGTTATTAGTTGGTTTAACAAGTTTCTTTTAAGGGCATTTATTTTCAGGGAATTATTTCCATAGGTAATCTAGACCCTGAATTTATCTGTTCAAACATGATACATCTTTTGCTAACAAGCGTTTTGATTGCTTGCTATGTGAGAGAGGAAAAGATAAAAATGTAGCCCAGAAGACTACTGTCCCTGCCGCTCCTTAGAGGATCAGTTTCCTCAGATGAAGGCAGAAAGCCTTGTGGAGCAGCTGGCCCTGAAATTGCTGAGTGATCCGGGCTTTAGCCTTTTCATACCATTTATTAACCATGTCCATGGAAAGTTGTTAGTCATCCCATAGTCCAATCTTCATGTAAATGGAAACAATATCTTCCTTGAGAATTGTTTAGACTAAAGATTAAATTGGAGGTTTTGTTTTCACTTAGCACAATATCCACCACAGAAACCTCTTAATAAACCTAATTGCTGTTTGGGGCAATTTAATTGTAATATTGCACCATCAATGACTTTTTTTGGGGGGGAAAACTAGCATTTACTAAAGAGGCCTAGGAAAGGATAAAGCATAATGCTAAAAGTTTAACCACTGCTGAGGTCTAAGAGAGGATTGCTTTGACTAATTGTAAATTCTTTGCCTTTCTATGCCAGTTTCCACATCTGGATATTGGGGTATAGATCTTACTTAATTTAATAATGTTTTATGACTAATAAATTTATCAAATGAATTAATATTTAGAACCATACGTGGCTAATAGTGTCTGTCAAAAATAAATAAAATTCATACATCATTTGCAGCTTATAGCTGCTAGTCATCTTCTTAGGCACCTGGGTGGTTAAGGGATTCCATGTCAGCCCTTCAGATATTCAGGGATTTAAATAAAACCTGAATTATTCATCCTGAGCA